GTCATTTTAGTGAAGGTGTGTCCTAAACCTAATCACTGCTGGATTTAAGGAGCAGGATAGACACAGGGATAAACAGCACTAATGGGGAAGACAGACCTCAGGTAAAGATCGCAAGGAACCCAGCTTCTGCTGGAAGGGAGGCGACGATCTTCCCCCAGAGCGGACAGAAAAGGGAGCCTTCCCCTAGAGCCCGTGCCCTGAATTCAAACTTGCAGCCTTCTGAACTGTGAGAAAATAAACTTCCATTTTGAAAGCCACTACCTTGCGTAGGAAAGTAGGACAGCACTCACCACCGAGAAAAGCACACAGAGCTGAGTTAAAGGCTGAGGTCTGGTGCTGGTCGTCACTAAACAAACCATTTCCTTTCTTTGAGTTGATTGACACAGTGGCTGCAACAATGGGCTCAGACACAGTAACGATTGTGAGTCTGGCGCAGGACCGGGCAGCATTTCGTCCTGTTGTACATGGGGTCACTGTGAGTCAGAACCGACCTGATGGCACCTCACAAGAACAGAATGAAAATCATCAGACTTAGCTCACACTGCTATTATTAATGATCAGACCAGACTGTACGTGCAGGCCAGATACATTTTTTCTACACACACACACTCACAAATAAATACAAATGCACCAACATTTTCTCAGACGTCACCTGCATATTGGGCTTCTATGATCACTCAGTGCAAGGGGTTATCTTTTATCATCAGCTTAGAGTCATAACAGACAAGCATCCTACAGAGCCTGCAATCTTAATTCCCAACCCTGCCTGGAATGCTGACAATCAGTATTTTATCTTCTGATACTCTCCTTAGCTGCCCTTGCTGTTTGAAGACCAGCTTTTTCTTAAGATGCAAACCATGGGGAAAACAGCCTATAACCACTGCTCCAGGGAAGACCAGAGTGACTACCTCAGAACCTCATAGGTATTTCCTTAGATCCTCATCACTAGGGCAACCAACAAGGTGGCTAGGGTCGCACGGCATCGTGGTTATGAGCCAGGGCTGGACTCGGGCTCTGTGTTCGAATCTTGACTCAACACTTTATCAGCTGGACACTTTCCTCAAGCTTCTCGCTGCTTTGAGTCTGTTATCTCACCTGTAAAATGGGCATAATAATAGTACCTACCTCCTGTTGTGTGATCAGCATTTTAGATATTTTAAATGGCATAATCTGTGTAAAGGATTTAGCACAGTGCTCTCAGCACACACAAAGCACAAGGATGTTGGCTACCACTTTAAATCTCCCCAGCTCACCCCCCTCTGGCACCAAGAGCCTTAAGCTATACAAGTCCCCTCCCCAGGCTGCACAGCCCCTCACACTGTAGTCCCTGGGGCCCTGCCCTGTGGTCCCCTTGCCTCTCAACCGCCCCACCCCCCACCCAGAGCTCCCTCCTTAACAAGGTCCCCTTACTCCTCTCATATATCAAGGACCCTTGGCCAATTTCCTTCTATACTGACTAGAGATCACCATCCTGCTCCCAGCCACACACTCCCCATGGAGCTGGGTAGCAAGGAACGGGCGGAAACAAAGCAATGACCAGCTCTCCTCTTGCCTCGCCACTTCCTGTAGACACACCTCATTTAGACTAGATGGCCTTCTCCTAAGGAGCCCTGGTGGCACAGTGGTTAAAGAGCTTGGCTGCTAACCTGAAGGTCAGTGGTTCGAACCCACCAGCCACTCCTCAGAGAAAGATATGGCAGTCTGCTCCCATAAAGATTATAAACTTGGAAACCCTGTGGGGCAGTTCTACAGGGTCAGAGTCAGAGTTGACTCCATAAGCACCTAACAACAACAACAGCATGCTTCTCCTTACCTCTCCCCGCCCCCACCGTCAACCTGGGGCAGAGAACATCATTGTCACGGCAACACTTCTCCCTCTCTCTCTCTCCCCCCTCTCACGCACACACGCACCCTTGGTCCTGGTGGTGCCCCCACTCCTGTCCTTGGAGGGCTTGCATTAGGTCTCTGCCCCTTTGCCTACAACTCCCCTCAGCTTGCCCGCTGGTAACACTCTCAGGGCCTGGAGCCCAGGGTGGCCCATCCTTCTCTGGGCCAAAGGACAAAGCGTCTATACCCACTGTCTACCTTCCAGCCCCTACTTCACACAGACTCGCCGATGGACCCACAACTAAGAACCAGCCGGCTCTTCACAGAGGATAGTGAGGCCCGGCAAAGGGCAGCATCTAATGATGGCATCCACCGAGGTCACTGAGCACCGAGGTGCGTCAGGAGCTGTGTTCCTAGCAGGGATCCTGAGGTGACCGACACCAATCACTGCAGCACAGTGGGACAGGCAGGAAGGCACCCTGGAGACAGACTGAGAACATGCCCTCCACAGCGGTGCCACCGCAGAGCTGGATTCTGAAGGAGCAACAGCCACCTGGGCTACTGCAGTGGAGTGAGTTACTTAAACTGCTCTCCTAGCCATAGTCTTGATGGGGTGGGACGACGTAAATAAGGTGCTTGTGGTCCACCAAGGGGATTGGACAGCTTGCTGCTAATGCAAATAAGGTATATGGAACCCCAACAAGGGGATTGGTCAGTTTTGCCATCCCACTAGGCTTAAAGGAAGCCCATCTCAGAAGTGAGAGGGGACCTGACCACCATCAAGAAAGAAGAGCCAGGATTGGAGCGTGTGTCCTTTGGTGCTAAGAACCTCCTAGACTCAGCAGACAGCGAGCGAGCTGAAACACCAGGGACAGTGCCAGGTGGTAGGAAGTGGCGGCAAGGGCGGCAGAGAAATGAGGGCAGCAGAAGCAGGAGCCCAGGCAGCTACAGTGGGCCTGCTGACCCACAGAGCGAGAGAGCCGAACGCCTTTGGGCAGGGGGCTTGCTGGCAGAGTAGGGTGCCTCCAGGGACTTCGCGGAGCTAGACTCACAGACTCACGGAGTGAGGGAGCTGAGCGCCTTCAGGTGGGAAGCTTGCTGGCAGAGTGGGGTGCCTCTGGACACTTACTGGCAGGGCATAGGCTGGGCCAAGACCCAAGGGTCGAGAGAGGAAGCCTGTCCGGAGGGGGCCAAGAGGAGGCCTGTACAGCTGAGAGGAGCTGACAGCTGTCCTGTGAGGGAGACTTTGCCTCCATGCTTCCCGATCCTGAGTTGTGTTACTCCCTAATAAACCCCAGAACTGTGAGTATTGTCTGTGAGTTCTGTGTGGCCATTGCAACGAATTATGGAACTCTGCCACAGGAGGGCCAGCTGGCATCAGAACTGGTGAAAAGGGTGGAGAATGGAAGTGCTTGATCTCCACCCCACAGCAATCAGCCTTGCACTGATGTTGATGATTCTCCCCGTGTGAAGTCAGAGGACCTCTGATGTCGCGACACCATTCTGACAGCCAGGTATACACACACGACTGTGCAGATCTGCAGACGGAGGGCAGTTCCCAGGGGGGGCCTGGACAGCCTGCCCGGGATGGTGGCAGCGTATCGGGACGCACTATCCCACCACATGTGGCTGCTCCTGTGTGCAAAGCACTGAAATCTGCTGAGATTAAAGACAAGGGACGTGGTCTTGGCCCCACAGGGGATCCAGGCCCAGGATATAGCGCTGGAATATAAGGCTACCTGCCCTGGGCTGTAATTAAATACCAGGAGCACCTGGAGGGAAAGGCTCCTTCTAGCTCCAGCTCCAGGTACAAAGATCACTGGGGTGGCAGAAAAGAAAGGGCGTTCATTAACACACGGTGAGGGGGTGGTGGGTGGAGTGAGCAAAACCCAGAAAAATTCAGGTGAGGCCTAGGAGGTCAGCAGGAGGGAGGGGAAGGGGGCCAAGGAAGGCCAGCAGGGGGAGGGGGCTGGGTGGAAGGCAGTGGGCGGGCCACGGCCACACCCCGCCCTCCTCAGCTCTGGTGCTTCTGGAGTCTGGTGGCAAAAGGTGAGAGAGGTTCTCGGGCCCTGGGGGCGGGTGATCACTGGGCCGGGACAGGGGAGTCAGGAGCAGCTGTGGCACCTTGCCACCCTGAGTGCAGGGGACAGGCCGTTTGGGTCCAGGGTGCCTAGGCGCTCTGCTGCGTTCAGAGGGAACGCCACCTCCCCACCCCCTCCCACCACTGCAATAGCCCTGGCCAACCCACTGCAGTCGAGTCGATTCTGACTCATAGTGACCCTGAAGGACAGAGTACCTTACCTTGTAGTTTCCAAGGCTGTAATCTTTACGGAAGCAGACTGCCGCAACTTTCTCCGGCAGAGCGGCTGGTGGGTTTAAACTACCAACCTTTCGGTTAGTAGTCGAGCTCTTTAACCACTGCACCTCCAGGGCTCCTTAGCAGCCCTGGCAGGAAGCCTGAAATTGGGGTTTGCTGACACAGGCTGGCAGAGGGTGGGGGCCCTGGCAGACATGGGGTGCCAAGGAAGACAGGCATTATTGGGCTTCTGTCCGAAGATCCTGTCTCATGTAGCTATGGCCCTGTGGCTCTGTGGTGTCCACATACACCTTATCCGTCCCCTGCAGCAGGGGCTGTCGTGGAGGAATGGGAAGACAGGGGCTCAGACAGGTAAGTGGAGCTCTCCCCGTGGGCTCAGTCTGAGGGCCTCTGTCCGGGGAGGTGGAAGAGGTCCAGCCAGGTCCAGCAGTCAGGAGGACGGGCAGGGCCAGCCCCATCATTGGGATTCCAGGCATGCCAGTGTGCACTGAGACCTGGGGCGCCCAGACCGGGCCCCAGGCGGTGTGAGGGCTGGAGCTGGAAGGCCGACCCGACCGCAGGGAAGGAAACACGCAGTGGGCAGGGCCAGGGCGCGGAAACTCCTGAGGGCTGGGAACCAGAACTCCTGGGGTGCCTTTCTGGCTGTCCCACCAGAACTGAGACCATGGGACAACAGTGTGGTTCTCGAGGGGACCACTGAGCTGGAGGGAACCCCACCCAGCATTTATTCTGGCCATCAATTGACTGGAGAGCGGAGACCTTGACACCCAGATGAAGGGGCTGGCCAGGACTCGGGGTCTGCGCAGCCACATGGCTTGTGCGGACAGAGCTGTGTCTTTTGCAGGAGCCGTGGGCCATGGTGCCCATCCAGCTATGGGGGTGCCTGAAGAAGCCCCTCCTCTTCCTGGGCTGCACCTCCATCCCCCTGGGGCTGCTCCTGCTGGACACTGCCCGGCCCAACATGGTGCCCCTGGCTTACTTCTTTTTCACATTTGGTAGCTTCTGCTTGTTTCTACGCCTTCTTGCCTGCTTGCTGGAGTACAGGCTCTGGCCACAGCAGGATGAGAACCCGAACCCAGGGGCCTCAGGCAGCGCGCGGTGAGTGAAGGGCGGCCGGGCAAGAGGACACCTGGGCCCCCGAGGCAGAATCTGCTCTCATCTGCCCTGGAATGGGGGAGCCCAGAGGTCAGGGCAGCGGAGACAGACAGGAAGGGGGAAAGAGCTCCTTTCACAAAGCCACCAGTGACCTTATTTCTCCTCCGTCAGGGACAATGAAGCCTTTGAGGTGCCAACCTACGATGTGGCTGTGGTGATGCAACCAGAGAGCAGCCCCCAGCAGCCGGATGACCCGCCACCGTACAGCAGCGTGATCCCCCTGGGACACGAGGAGGGCGAGCCGAGCTGTCCAGAGGAGCCCAGGGGAGCGAGACTGCAGAGGCGAGGGGGCTCAGAGGGGTCTATGACCCAGGGAGGAAACCCCAGTAGGGCTCCAGTCAGAGTCCGGCTTCGGGGACCGCGGGCCGTGTCGACTGAGCCTGACCTGCAGCGCTTGCGGATAGCCCCCAAAGTGGAGCCTCTTACTCCACCCCCTGCTTATGAGGTCAGCCTTGGTCCCCAAAATGATGACAGTGTTTTCTACGAGGACAACTGGACACCCCCCTAAACTGCTCTCCGCCGATGTGCCGTCTCCCCGCTCCGGACCCACTCCATTCTTCGACCAACATTCCCAGCGCCTCCTGTCAGGACTGTGCTCCTGCCTGGACACCGTGAAGGGCAGGCTGCGTGCGCCATCCCCGCGGACATGTGGTCTGAGTCTTCCAGCGACCTTACGCCGGATCAAACAGCTCCAGAGTTAGACTGAGGGTGAGGTGGGGAGAGATCCAGAGAAGCTGGAAAAGGACGACAGGAACCTCTACTAGGTCACCTGGTCCTGCAACCTTCTGAGGTGCTATGAGGGTTCCAGGGGTCAGAGACGCTGGGTAACTTGCCCAAGGGCGCACTGCTAGTAAATGGCGTAAAGTGACTTGCTCGCTGTTTTCAACGCAAGGTCGCCGTGGCGCACCTCTCACCCCCTCTCGGGGGCTAGGGCTCTGCATGCAGACTGGGTGGGGCCGGGTGCGTGCTGACAGCTCTGGTCACCCCATGATGCTCACAGCGCCGCGGGCGGCAGGGGCGGCCGGGGAGTCGCGGCCGCGGCGGGCCTCGTTCCGAGTGAGTGGGCTGCCGGCCGGGGGCTTCTCGGCTGGGCGCGGCCTGTGGCCCTCCTCCTAGGTCCGCCAAGCCGCGCTCCTGCCCTCAGAGCCCGACGCCGGGTCCTTCGGCGATGCGCTGGCCCGGGCGGCGACACTCCGCGCCCTCGGCCCTCTACCGCGGAGCGTCTCGCCCTGCCTCGCCGCCTAACTCAGTGAAGGGAAAAGTCCCCCCGCCTCCGTTGCACGGTTATAGGACTGCGCGGCGCTGGGCCTGAAAAGTGAGCTCTGCAGCAACCAGCAGACCGCAGGGACCGGCCCCAGCCAGGCCTGATTGGCAGCTCTACGCCTGCGCACGCTCCAGCCACCGCGGGCCGGAGCGGGGACCAGCAGGCGTGGGGTCTAGCACGTGGGGGCGGGGCCGGCTCCCGTAGGGGGCAGGGCAGGCACACGTAGGGGCGGAGCCGGACTACGTGGGGGCGGGGCAGGACACGTAAGGGCAGAACCAGCTCGTGTAGGGGCGGGGCTGACACACGTAGAGGGTAGGGAAGGCCCACGTAGGGGCGGGACCGGTTCACATTGGGCGGGGCTGGGTCGTGCAGGGGGGCGGCCGGCCCCCATGGGGCGGGGCTGGCTCGCGCAGGGGCGGGGCTAACACGCGTAGGGGGCAGGGCAGGCCCACCTAAGGAAGGAGCCAGCTCCTGTAGGGGCGGGGCCGGGAGGCAGGGCGCGCGCTGCGTACGTCGGCGCTGGGCGGGGCGTCGCGCGCGCGGCGTCCGGTTCGTTCGGCGGTGGGTGGCGCGCGCACTGCCCGGGAAAGGCGCGAAAGGCGGGAAATGGCCGCGCCGAGTGCGGCGTCCCGGCCTGCTCTCCCGCCAAGGGGGCTGATGGCCGCTGACAGGGGTCGCAGGTGAGTGGGGAAGGGGCGCAGCTGAGTGGAGAAGGGGCGCAGGGGTCCTCGTCGGGCCCCAGGCCGCCCCCCTCCCCGTTGGACCTCAGCGTCGGCCGCGGCCGCGCTTCCTCCCGATGGCGGGAGGCCCCGAGGGGCGCGGGGTGCTCTCTGGTCGTCCCTGCTGGCACAGACTGCTCAGCCCCCTCCCCCAAGCCGAAGGCTCTGACTGAGGGGAGCTCTCTGCAGCCCCGCCACTCCTCGGCCTTCCCCGGCTCCCCCGTGAGAAACTGCGCTCTGCGCCTAAACCCGGTGAGACCCCCTCCGCGGTGCTAGCCCGATGTGCATTTGATTTGCATTGCATGTAACTTGATCCGGATTGCTTTACATAAAGTGACCTTGTTTTCAAAGAAGTGTACACACCTTTGGGATTTGAGTACTTTGATAAGACCAGGAGGTTCCTGGGGCTCCATTGCCGTTCGTGGCCGACATCACCCAGAGTAACATATTTCCAGGCCCCTGGTCCAAACCCAGTTTAATTTAGGATTTTGGAACAGGAGGCTGCAAAAGTCCACAGAATCAAGACTTAAGAACCCCCTGTTTGTCTTTTCCCCAACCTCCTCCCTCCTTCCAAATGCATCCTGAAATTCTTGGAAAGTCCACATTTGAGACTCTCCATACTACGGATGGTAGGAAGGAGCAGGTTTGTGGAGAGTGGGTGAGGCTTTAGAACTGAGGAGCTCTATTTGTGCTGTAAACTTTTACCTGAAGCACAATAACATTTAAAAAACAAAACAAAAAACGAATGGGCTCTTGAAGCGTGGAGGAGGAGACGGTTCTGAGCTGGGAGTGAGTTGTGAGCATGGATGAGATTGTCTAGGGAGAGGGTCTGTGGGTTAGAGAAGAGGACCCAGGATGCAGCCCTGTGCAGTGTCAACATTTAAGGGCTGGCAGGAGGTCCTGGGAAGGAGGCAGGAGCGCAGTCGGCAGAGAGGCCCTGGAGAGAACAGCAGCGGGGAAACCAAGGGAGGAGAAAGTTTCAAGGGGAGAATGCCGCGGGTGATCTAGGGGAGACACCTGAGTAAACCTGCTCCGCCGTTGATGGTGACTCCCAACGGACATCCTCGGCACCCAGCTGCAATGTTATCTTGGGCTTGGCCTAGTAACAGTTAACTTTTACCAGAGTTTATGTCATCACTGACTGCTTTGTGTGTCCCAAGATGATTCTTTTTAAATGGAGTCTTGCTTGTCCTAGCAGGTTTTTGCTGAAGGTTTGAAGCAACAGGAGTATTACAATATAACAGAAACAACAGATTAAAATGGAGTTTCAGACATCACAGTCCCACACCCAAAATTCACTGGCATCTTCCAGCCCTGAGAATTTTTTTACCTACCACTCCTCCTGCCTTACAATCCCACCTGATATCTCCTTGGGTCTCTCAAGACCCAGCTTTTTCTGCTGTTTAACTGTAAAATCCCTGACCCAGAGTTAGGCCAAGTAGATCCTGTACATGCGGGTGTTTCATCAGTTCTAAGCTGCATGTTATTTTTTGTTGTTGTTGTCACATTTTAAGGTCTTTGAAATCAGGATGTGGTTTTAAACCATCTCTTACATTATAAACTGAAGCTTTTACCACATCCCTTTCTTATACTGCCATAAAGCCCTCACTGTTGTCATGCGTTCAGAAACCGACAAGCCGGCTGGCTGGCGAGCTCAGGATTTAGTGAACTAGGCACAGAGGTGATAACATAGTGGAAACAGGATTCTTTTAGTTCTTAACCAAACCAATAACAAAACTAAGTAGTCCTTGAAATTAAGGCATCCCTGGTGACCAGATTACCAGATAGAGGCAGCCCCCGGATTACAAGCGCATTCCATTCCTAGGTCTGTCTTTAAATCGGAGTTTGTACAGAAATCGGAACAGTTAGGTACCTTGAGGATCTAGTCAAGTGTTTGTTAATGTATAGTGTATTTTTCTATGCACAGAAAACAGAAAAGAAACACTTTCAGATACGCTAAAACATCTTTAATAGAATAATGCCATGATAGTGTTTTGATGGGCATTGTAAAGTAGCACTTGTTTGTTATTAGGAGGTATTGTGTGTGCTCAAATTTTTAATATAATAGGCTTTATAGGGCTGGTTCAGGTTGTCTGTAACTTAACCCAGGGGCTGCGCGTAATCCAGTTTTAACTCGCTTTAACTCTTTAGGTGGTTTCAAAGTTAGGTTGACTGTACTCATTGTGATTTATCTGCTGTGACTTTCTGTCATGCTACTAATCCTGTTTTTCAGGATTCTGATGATTTCCATGGCATCATTTTTGTTACAAGAGTGTACTTTTTTTAAGAAACATAGAGTTCTAACTGGTGTAAATAAGCTAGAGAGAGTGTGTGTCCCTGCCTCGTTTTCTATTAACGCTGGCCATTGGTTTGCATTTTCCCCACTGCATTGTCATTTTTAAACTCATTTCACTTCCAGCAGCCTGGCTAAAGAATGTGGAATGTTTTCTGGAATGATTCTCTTCATTAGAATTCGTCAGCCAGACAGGAGTATCCCTTCTCATCAATATCTGTGCGTGTGTGTGTATTGTGTTATTTTTATGAAGAGACTTCCCTCCCCCAGCCAGACTGTTCATCTCAAAAGACGGTCTCAGCTGATCGTGTTTCATGAAGAATTGTACGTACAGTCAGTGTGTTTCTGCCTAACACATCTTCTCCAGAGACAATAGAACAGGCGAGTCCTGGTTGTTCTCAGTACTCTTCTTTGTTCTGCCTGCACCTCTTCCTAATCCTGCTGCACCCTGTGCCTGAGGCCACACCCTGTGCCTGAGGCCTGTCCTCTGCCTTCCCTGGGCAGGATGCTGGGCGTGTGCGGCATGCACCCTGACCACCAGGAAGCTCTGAAAAGGAACCGCGTGGTGCTGGCCAAACAGCTATTGCTCAGCGAGCTGTTGGAGCACCTCCTGGAGAAGGACATCATCACCCTGGAAATGCGGGAGCTCATCCAGGTACCCGGAGGCTGGCCGAGGGAGAAGCCAGAGGAAAGCTTGGCCGCTGGGGTGGGCAGAGCAAGATGAGGGGTGAGGGGATTCCGTGCTGTGTGAGGAAGTGGGGTGCCCTTCCACTGTGGGACAAGTTGGAGAATAATGACAGGACTTTGCCTGCATTCCTGCAGAGGACTCTTGGGATGGATGGGGCATGCTGGGAGACTCATGGGGGGAGAGAGGGAGCCCCAGCTAGATCAGTAATGACACCGTCACGCTTTCTTCCTGTGTCCTAGGCCAGAGTGGGCAGTTTCCACCAGAACGTGGAACTCCTCAACCTGCTGCCCAAGCGGGGCCCCCGGGCCTTTGAGGCCTTCTGTGCCGCCCTGAGGGAGACCAAGCAGGCCCACCTGGAAGACCTACTGCTCACAACCCTCTCTGGTCTCCAGCACATCCCCCCGCCGGTACGGAGCCCCAGCAGTGTGTGGAGGAGGAAAAGGGGTTCTCGAGACAGTGCTGGGGAGATGAGATTGTTTTACCTCCACTGGCCCACCTCCCTGAGGCCTGTGGGTGCTGGTGTCTTCCAGCTGAGCTGTGACTACGACCTGCATCTCCCGTTCCCGGTGTCTGAGTCCTGCCGCCCGCTCAAGCAGCCCCGCCTGTCTGCAGGTGAGGATTGGCCCTACAGGTGGACTTCCCTTTCCCTGCCTGGGTCTGCTCTGCCCTAGCTCTGCTCCCATCACATGGGGAACGTCCCTCCGTGGCCGTGTCAGGCTCTCAGCATAGACGGGGTGGTGGCTGGGCCCGCTGCCCTCCCCTCACCCCAGGTGATGTTCCTCCGGAGATTGGGTCTCGGAGCCACTAGTGCAGTCAACCTCTGTACAGCAGAGTTAGTTTAGAAGGAGAAAAAGGCTCTGTTTTGGCCACTAGCCTGCTGATGGAGTAGCCTTGTGGTTAAAACTGGGCTTTTATCAGATACCCCTTTCTGTCATTTGGTGTATTGAGCACCTACTGTATGTAGACCAAGTACAGAGGATCCAGTGGTGAGCGAAGGCAGACAGGTCTCTGTGCCCTCATGAGACTTACAGGTGGGAGAGGGTAGGGGCGGTGCTGGTCAGAACCCCAGCTCCCAGGGCCTGAGGTCACAATGCAGACCTGGGCTGGCGCTTGGACTTGACCTGGTGTGCTGGCTCTGTCTCATACAGACCCCATGGAGCACTCCCTGGACAGCGGAGACGGCCCTCCCTGCCTGCAGGTGAAGCCGTGCACACCTGAGTTCTACCAGAGGCACCGCCAGATGGTAAGTCCTGCAGGCTGGAGAGTGTCTGCTGTGGGGTCCCTCCTGCCCCTGAGTCGGGCCGTCACTGATTCGGCGTCTTGTAGGTGCATCTCTGCATCTCCTTGGCAGGGTTAAGAAAGAGATTACGAGGTTCTTTGTTTCCTTGAAGTTCCTAACATGGGGGAGCCCGGTTTCTGTCCTCCGGAAGCTCGCATCTCACCGGCCCCCTCCCTCCCCCAGGCCTACAGGATGCAGGCGCAGACCCGCGGGCTGGCGCTGGTGCTGAGCAACGTGCGCTTCACTGGAGAGAAGGACCTGGAGTTCCGCTCTGGGGGCGACGTGGACCACAGCACTCTGGTTACCCTCTTCAAGCTGCTGGGCTACGACGTCCACGTTCTTCACGATCAGACCGCACAGGTACCCGGGGCAGGGAGAACGCACGCGCATGGAGGGCTGGGCACCTCGGGCCGGAACCATCCACTGTGCCTGACTACGCTGGGATGTGTGGCGATTCCTCACTCTGTCCTGCCTCCACCTTGCAATCTAGTGAAAAGGAGCCCAGGCCGGCCGGCTGCCTCAGCGCCGCTTCCCAGGGTGGCTGGCCTTCACAGAGCAGCCGTGTGCCTCAGGACTGGGCTCTCACGTCTGTGTGTGAGCATGACCCACTATCACTGGTCTCTCAGGAGGTGATGAGACGCCACGATCCACCCTGAGCACCTCAGAGCAGGTCCTATAAGCCAGGACGACGCGGAGTTTACTTCTTGGTTGATACTGTCTTTAGGAGTCAGGTTATTGTTCAGAAGACTGCTTTGGCAGGTACGAGGGTAACAAGTGAGAGTTTGTTGGAATTATCCTTATAAATGCCGTTCTGTGGCTGTCCAGTGAGTGAGCACGTGGGCAAATTCTGTAACCCTGTGAGTTGTGTGGCAGTCATGTCTCAGGGAGGATTACTTCTGGAGGACATTCCTGCAGGCCAGGCATTTTCATCCTGGGTTAGTCCTGGTTAACTTCCGCTACTGAGGTTGCACTATGGGCTTTGTTACCTTTGGATAGTGCTGTTTTTAACTGAGTAATTGTCTGGAGAATCATATGGATATCTATATTATCTATTTTGATTACAGAGTAATAGTGCTTTACTGAGCTTGTCTTTGGGATTGTCAGTGGTAAATAAAAGCGTCCAGGGGATTGCCTCTGCTCTTTTGGGGTAGGGGGGCTTCATCTTGTGTTTGCCTGCCTGATCTTCGTCTCTGGTGCTCAGCTGGCCCGCTGCTGTGAGGATGCTGTGCCATGCTTCAGCTGAGGCTTGTTTCCTGAGCGGGGCCCCTGCGTTGCCCTTCCTGGGCGGGTTTTGCCACCAGGGCTCCTTCAGGGTAGGGCATCTCCCATAATTCCCGCAAAGGGAGTCCTGTTAGAGGGTCATGTGTGAAATGCACGCTATGTGTTTTCTTGGAGGTTTTGGTCTAGCCGTTCCTTTTACTAGAAATTATTTTGTCAGGGTCTTCAGAATTGCGGGCGGTTGCAGAAGGATCCTACACATCTTTTGGTCGGAGATGCACAGCTGAGTCAGCACATGCTGTGTTTTCAGATGCCCGGTAGGCCGATGGCCGTGGGCACTTCATGCCCACGGCTCGTTTGCCCTGAACCTGCTGCAGGTGCGAGGATCTGGCTGCGTTATTTGGTAACGAGTTGCAGTAGAGTTCCATTTTGAGTGCTTGATAATGGGGGGCTGTGCTAGCCACCAGAGATTTTCAAAATGCGGACTTTGAGTTCAGGGGACTTCAGTTAGATGAGGGAGTCTTGACATCAGCAAAAAAAGAAGTGTGCTCCTCCATATTCTTTTTTTTTTTTTTAATTGTACTTCAGTTGAAGGCTTACAGAACAAATAGTTTCTTGAGAAACAGTAGTACACATTGTTTTATGACATTGGTTAACAACCCCACAACATGTCAACCCTCTAACTTCTCAACCTTTTGTTTGGTGAAAAGACACATGGACAAAGATACACCATTTCAAACGTTTCTACGTGCACAGTTCAGTGACATTGACTACCCTCTTCCAATTGTGTTGCTATTCACACTTAAGATGAAGGCTTACAGAGCAAAATAGTTTCTCATTTAACAGTTACTGAACATGTTGCCCTATGACAGTGGTTAACAATCTTACAACACATCAACAATATCCTTACTCAACCTTGGGTTCCCTATCACCAGCTTCCTTGTCCCCTTCTGCCTTCCCTCGTTAGTCCCATTTGGTTTTACGGGGCTGTCCACTCCCAGGCTGAACAGTGAACCTTGGAGATAACTTCACCACTGAGCTAAAAGGGTGTCTGGGGGCCATACTGTCGGGGTTTCTCCAGTCTCCTTTAGGCTAGTAAATCTGGTCTTTTTTTGTGAGTTAGAATTATGTTCTACATCCTTCTCCAGCTCTGTCCAGAAACCTCTGTTGTGATCCTGGTCAGAGCAGTCAGTGGTGGTAGCTGGGCACCATCTAGCTGTACTGGAGTTCCTCCATATTCTTAAAGGGCCAGGAAGATAAAAGGCAGTGTGGGTCAGAGGGAGGAGCGACCCCTTGGGCTGGTGGGACATGGATGGATGGATGGATGGATGGATGGACAGATGGATGGACAGGTGGATTCTGCTACGGCCAAGAGGCGTGCTGGCGGTGGCCTGGGCAGTCTGTGCCACGTGAAGGGCCACCCGGGGCGAGGGAGCACCAGAGGTCACAGGACCAGCATGTACGGGGCCGAGCGGCTTCCCCAGGAGTCTATCTTCCTGCCGCTGGCGTTGGCGCACCATGAGCAAGAGGGGGTGCGTGCACAGTGCTGACTGGGGAAGGTTAGTGAGACTGTCAGAAGGCACAAGGGTGGCAGAGAGTCTAGTATGGAGATGCAAGGGCAGGACATAAGGCCTGGACAAGGTCTGGGCCCAAAGGGAGGAACGGATGTGAACAAGGGGCGGCCTGCATTGGGGAGGGTACACGAGTGTGGGATTGAGGACCTCAGGAGGAGAGGACCAGATGGAACCTTGAGAGTTATCAGTGTAGGAACATGCTTCACGTAACGGGGGAAAGGTGAGAGTACCAGGAGCAGAGGCTCAGGCCTGCACTTTGGGCTCCCACCTCCCTGGTGAGGTCCCGCCTCCCTGGTGAGGTGCCCCCAGTCTCATCCTCAGCCTGGGGGTTCCCACGATGGCCGATGAGACTGGGTAGAGTGTGGACCAGGGAGCTACAGTGGGGATAGGATTGGAGCCAAGAGCAGGTGCGGAGAGTCCTTCTCCGGAAGGCCACTGGGATGCAGCTCCTTCATTGCATGATCAATGCGTGACCGATGGGTGAGCGCTGGAGCCCAAGCAGAAGCGAAGGTCCTCTTTCCCCCTCCTGTCGGCACTTTTTGACTTTAGAGCTAATTCCATTAAAAAATGGGAAATAGCATGTTTGGCGTTAGAGAGTCCTTGTCCTTTGACTGCTCCTCTCCCGGCCCAGGTCTGTTTTTAAGTCTTTCTCATCAAAGTCTCGTCATTGCGTCTACCTCATGAGATTACTAGTTCTAGAATTACGCTTTCCTTGTACAGTGTCTTAGTCATTTAGTGTTACTTTAACAGAAATACCACAAGTGGACGGCTTTTAACAAAGAGAAATTGGTTCTCTTGTAGTCCAGTAGGCTACAAGTCCAAATTCAGGCCGTCAGCTCCCGGGGAAGGCTTTCTCTCTCTGTCGGCTCTGGGGGAAGGTCCTTGTGATGCATCAGTCTTCCCTTTGTCTGGGAGCATCTCAGCGCAGGAACCTCAGGTCCAAAGGACGCAGTCTACTCCCTCCCAGTGCTTCTTTCTTGGTGGTGTGAGGTTCCCATGTGTCTCTGCTCGCTTTTCTCTTGTATATCTCAGAAGAGATAGGCTTAAGACACTATCCAATCTTGTATACCTCATCGGTGTAACTGCCGCTAATCTGTCTCATTAGGTCATAGTGATTGAATTTACAATGCATAAGAAAATCACATCAGATTGCAAAATGGTAGACAGTTATACAATACGGGGAATCATGACCCAGCCAAGTTGACAGATGTTTTGGGGGGACACAATTCAATCCATGACACACAGTGAAACCTGTGAGAGCTGAAACCTGGGGAGACTGCCTTGTTTTTCCGGGTCTCACAACTTTTCCGCCTTCGACAGGGTGCAGTCTTACCCCTTTTCTGTTGCTCTCTATTAGTGGAAAGTGTTTGAGTTTTCCTTCTGTGACAGGTTTCCGCCTTATACAGGTTCCGGCTTTCACAGGTTTACTCTATTAGAATATTAGATACGTTTCGAGGTGCTGCATCCCCCATTACTGTGTGGCATGGATTCTAACTCGTGTTTGGGTCCCACACTGCTTTGAGAGTTAGGGACCAGCTCTGAGTCACCCCAGGAAAGCGCACACGATTCCAGAGGCCTCACAGTAGCTCTCATCACCTCCTGTGTTCCCCAGACGAAATGCGCAGGCGTCAGAGCCCTACTATTTATAGAAGCACTGTCGTTCCATCTGAAATAACTCTCCTGATCCTATTCTAGGCTCTGCTACTTTTGGAACAATTCCCCCAGGTGACTAATCCCTGGTTATTGATAGGTGTAGTCCTGGGGGTTAGGCTACAGCGTGTGTGCTCACTGGGCTGGGCTGTCCTCTGGCACTTGCCCAGGTTCAGAACGCTTGCATGTAGGTGCCAGTCAGACAGGTGTGTGTTCCACCTTGGAGCAGAGTCAGCTTCTTTGGTGACTGTGTTACAGTCTGTAATGGCCGCCTCCCCAGGAGCATTCACGTTGATGCATTTCCCTGAAATTATATATTCTTGAAGTAAGTGGATTTTGAATGTCTTTTATTGCCTTCAGTTTTCTATTAGCGTGGTTGGCTTCTCTTTGCCTAGAAAACATACAGACTGTCTTATCAAAGCCAGTTTTTCCATTTCTAGTCAAGTTGCAGACTTTCAAGTCTTTTGTATAATTAAGCCTCAGTTATCTGCCGAGTATTGCAAACCAGTTGATCAGCAGCTCTCAGACTTCAGCCCCAGCAGAATCACCTGGAGGGCTTGTTACAGCGCCGCTTGCTGGGCCCACCCCCAGAGTTTCCACTCAGCAGGCCTGCGATGGGGCCTGAGGCTGTGCCCTTATTTCTTACACTTTCTAGGTGCTCAGGGACCACCCACCGGGGACCACTACAGCACATCACACGTGTGCTTTTATTTGGGGGTGTGTTGTAAATAGCATGTGCGCGGGTGCTGGAACTTCTGCTTGGATCGTATATTCGTCACCTCAGTTGACTGTCATCCAGATTCATCAGTGAGCTTGTTTCCTCTGCGCATGCCGTGAGAATTGGAGGCTTGAGGGGCTCAGTACCTTGTCGCATACTTCAGAAAAAGGTATGGAGCACCTCAAGCCTCCAGTGGCCCTCGTGCCCTTCCGGGCGCTTGTTGTAGTGAGGGAGTGGAAGATCAGGGGACAGATCAGTTAGTGAGCTCATGGTCCACTCCGTCAGTCCCAGCTTGAGTCCGGGGCTCTTCCTGGGTCTCAGTGTGTCTGAATTCTGTGACTGTGCACACAGAGTTTTGTGCCCTTTTCTGGAGAAGCCATAGCTTTCTTCAGCCTCTCACGGGGCCTGGGCTTCTCTTACTGTTCCCGTGGGGATGTATAGAAAACGTTTTATTTTCTGCTGGCTCAGGATTTCAGGGCTACACAGAAAAAAGCTCGGGGTGGCGCTGGCTGCAGTGACAGGGCTCCCAGTGACAGAGAAAAGCTCGGGGTGGCGCTGGCTGCAGTGACGGGGCTCACAGTGACACAGAGAGAAGCTCAGGGTGGTGCTGGCTGCAGACGGGGCTCACGGGTATCTTTCTTCCAGGAGATGCAGGAGAAGCTGCACAGCTTTGCCCAGCTGCCCGCGCACCGCCTCACCGACTCCTGCATCGTGGCGCTGCTCTCCCACGGGGTGGAGGGCGCCATCTACGGGGTGGATGGCAAACTGCTCCAGGTGCGTGTCTGGGGGCGGAGGCCTGCTGCCTGCCCACCTTCCCAGCATCGGGGCTCACCCGGAGGTCCGAGGGGCTGCTCACCCCTCTTCTCGCTGCTTCTCCCGGGCAGCTGCAGGAGGTCTTCCGGCTCTTTGACAACGCCAACTGCCCGAGCCTGCAGAATAAGCCCAAGATGTTCTTCGTCCAGGCCTGCCGTGGAGGTGAGTGTCCGCCGCCGGCGCCGGGTGGTGGCTCCCAGCGGCCCCCGCCAGCTCTCACGCTCCTGTTTGCTCCTCTCAGGTGCTATCGGACCCCTCGGGCACCTCCTTCTGTTCCCTGCTGCCACCGCCTCTCTTGCTCTGTAAGTGTCTCCGATGCATGGGGTGGCCGGGCCTTGGGCAGCCCGAGACCCAGTTGGTTAGCGCTCTGTGCGCCCTGCTCTGGCCCAGTGTCTCGGCAGCATCTCCGCCATCTTTTCTGGGAGCTCCTACTCTCTCTGCTCATCGTCTCTGGCGTGCTGCTCCTCTTACTCATCCAGGCGCAGTGTTTTCTCTCTGCTGCCTCTGCTGTCCCTCTCGCCGTCCCTTCCTTTTCCTCTCTCGCTCTCCGCCCCTTCTGCTCTTCCCCCTTGCTCCCCCCTCACCTGCACTGGCCCCCTCTGGCCGCCTGCACCCGCAGTGAGGCGCGGGCCCCAGCAGCCATCGGCTCCGGCTCCCCCAGGCCGCGCGACCCCTCCGTGCATGCTGCCCGGGTGGCTGCTGAGAGCCAGGCCAGGGGCTGGACTCGGGCAGGCAGGCCTGCATCTCGTTCTGAGGAAAGCTGTTACCAGCTCCATGCTTGGGGTCAGGGCCCAGCCCCTCACTAACCGTCATGTGAGCTCAGGAGTCCTGGCGCCCCTCAGCCTCAGGTTCCTCGCGTGAAGTGTAGATAGTCGCGCACCTGCTGCCTGCGCGGCTGCGAGGATCCGGTGCAGTGACGCGTACCGAGGGCCCGCCAAGCACAGCCCCTGACGTGGTAGGTCCACAGTCAGTGCGGGCTGTGCCGTACAACAGGACTGTTGCCTGAAGGGGCTTGTCATTGGCATTAAAGGCCACCTTGACCCAATGTTGAAATAATTGTGTTCTATCTGTTGTGTGGTCAGTAGATGTAAATGGCTGAAATGGCAACCCGGACCTCCAAGTGTCACCGCAGCACACCGTATACTGAGCCCCCGCCACGGGACCAGGGCCACACTGGGCGCTCAGGGACGTGGGGCCTCGGCCTGCATGGGAGCAGGGCCACACTGGGCGCTCAGGGACGTGGGGCCTC